AACCCTAAACCCTAAACCCATATCCGACACCTGGCCAGGCTGAGGAGTTTCATTTACACATACACCCGCATGCAGAGATAAGCCTGGACGCAAGAGTTCACCAATTTCCCCAAAGGGTCCATGTAGGTGTATGGTATATACTTAGGGCCCAAAAGGGTTCCCATATACCTACTTTAAGGACCAATTTTATCCCATATACCTACATGGACCCTTTGGGTTCTAAAAAGACTACGAGGACACTGAGGGCCTACAAGGTGTAAGAGATCTCCTTGTCTGGCACCCTTCTGAAGAAGGCCTTAACAAAGTTAAAGTGTGAAGGACTTGTACAAAGTACTGTAAACCCCAAACCTTTCAAAAACTGAAGCCTAAACCCATAAACAAGTCTTAGCACCCAGGACTCCAATCTCCGAATCCCATGACCTACTTTGGCGCAACCTTTTGAGTGTTTCCTCCTGCAAACCAACCACCTATGAGTTTAGGGTTTAGGATTTAGGGGGTTTAGGGGTTTAGGATTGTTGGGTTTAGGGTTTAGGGGTTTAGGATTTTGGGGTTTAGGATTTTTCGGTTTAGGAGCTCCATGACGGTCTTTGTACAGATCTCGGAATCACGTATCCCCTTGAAGGGGGATGTTGCGGCTATCTGAGCTATAGCCTACACTCCTTAAAGGGTGTTCTATGGGGGATTATATGGTTTTTAAGGGGGAATCTAGGAGTTCAGCCTAAAGCTCGCACCTGGCGCCATGTTATGTTCAGGGGTAGTTGAGTAAGTCCGGCAGACGTGCGAAGTAAATCTAGGATCCTTCAACCGCAAGCCCAAAATCCCGACAATTTGACCCCTAAAAGCCTTAGGCCTCAAGCCCTCAACCCTAAGCCCCAAGCCCCTAAACCCTAACTCTAAAACCCCAAAACACCCAAACCCCTAAACCCTTAAGCCCCTAAGCCCCAAGCCCCATGACACCCCCTGGCATTAGCTACAGGCAACATCCTCGGCATTTTCAGGGGATCCCTGGAAGCTCCCTTTGTCAAGGACTATTGGGGTGTGGGCTTTAGGAAGTTTACGGTTTAGAGTTTGGGGTTTAGGGTGTAGGATTGAGGGGCTTGAGATTAGGATTTGGGGTTTGGGGTGTGGGGTTTATGCTGTAGGGTTTAGGGTTTGGGGTGTAGGGTTTGGGCATCTCCTACATGAAGACTATCAGACACTAAGAAGTCAAGTTGAATCCTAGAATGTAGTTTCTATGAAAGTTCTGCAACGTTGCATTGTGGATTAGCTATTGTCATATATCCAGTCTGCAAGTGCACGTGTGGCACTTTGAATTTAGAAGCCTGAGCAGTCTGAACAGTACACAAAATTCAATCTTCACTGGCATCATCTGACATAATTGAAAGGCATAATATGCCCCAAAACCCTGCATCAAATAGGCCCCTATATGCAGAGATTCGTGGGCAGCGGTGAGGGCAAGATATGTCAACGAGTAGAATGAGTGGACAAGGAGACCTTGCGCTTCTGGTCGAAAGGGCAGCCCTGTGCTGATAAAGGAGAATGAGATGGAAAAAGACATGGGGAATGATATGTAGCAGGAATAGCGTAGTGTATAGTTTGGGTACTGCCCCCACTTTGTAAGAGTTGGATAATGTTGATATTTCAAGTGTATATATATATATGTAGGTATCTAAATCGCCCTGAATATGACCCCTGATACAGACTCTTGCAGGGTGGCGGCAGTACCGAATGTATAGTGGTTCACAGAGTGTTGAATGTAGACGCCTGAGCAATTACCATAAGTACTCCCTGCTCCTAGAACTGTAGTGTGCTATGCCTTGAAGAGACGCCTACATTACAGACAACGACAAGAATCACACATGTACTGTATTCTGAACTCCTGAAAGGGGTTATATAGGGGATTATAGGGACTACTATAGGAGTTGTTCAAAGAGATACTGAGAGTTTGAATTATGGCTCTCATGGTGCTAAGTACCACGGAAGAGGCAACTTGCCAGTTCACGAGGATGAATTGCTACCCTGGGGCCTAAAACTCTAATCCCAGAAACTCTATAGCCCCCCTTAAGTAGATAGAATATGGGGTATGTGCGGATCCTATTTTAATTGATATACCCAAAGCTACATTCTGTCTAGTTACGGGGGACCATAAACCCATACCTTTAAGCCCTGAACTAAAAACCCTAAAACCTACTGTAAAGCCTTAGATTCTAAATTCTAATTGTGTGTCGTGAGGCAGGAAAAGCCTTGACGCGAAGGATGAACCACGACATTTGGCGCCATGGTGGCAGAAGGAGCCTTTCTTTTCCTTAAGGCGTGTGCTGATGACACGAAATTTCTTGAATAGTCTATCATCCCTTCCTATATTGTTACCCTATATTGTTGTTATTATTGTTATTAACATTGTTGCTGTTATTGTTATTATCATTATTATTGATATTAGTTTCTAAAACATAGAAAATACAGGGTCCCCAGACTTCCCAAACATGAAATCTGCCCCCCAAGACTGCTGTTAAAAGGGCCAAGACTGGGGCTAACTGGGGCTCGGCTCCTCTGAATAGCGGGGTTTCGTAGCATGACCCTGAAGCATTTGAATGTGTTGTTAACAACGTTTTTTTAAAAGAATCAATGCGATAATAATTGGCTTCATTGGGGTCTCAATTTGTGTTACGTAGATTCGAATTACATGTTACATATTGAGTTTACATGGTTTGAACTTGTAGATGCAATTTCCATACGAACCCATTGTATTCCCCCTAATGTTCGGGTCGTACGATAAATACACCCCCCCCCCTCGCCCCCAAATATTAAATACAGGTTGGAGTATATGCATGGGGGGGAAGGGGGCGGGGGCCTTTTTCCTTAAGGGGAGGATTAATGAGTATGCTAGTACTTGGTGTACTCACAGACAGGTGCTGTCTACGCTACGGAGGCTTGTTGCAGGTAACTCATGTTTTTCGTATGTCCTTATGGTAAGATTCTTTCTGTTCGGGGAACACAGGGAGGACCTTTCGCATTAAAAAGGATTTGCCAACTGCTGTCCTGGAACGTCATCGCAGATCTCCGTGAGCCCTAGGATGGACCAAGCCCAGAAAGACATACGCACAAACAAGATTAAGACAAGGGAGTGTATGATGACATGTTTCCCTTTATTTATCTTTTGATAAGCATCTATATATCCAGAAAAATAGTATGCCCCTTTCAGGCCTTGACGTGCTTGCAACTTCTGCAGGTATTCTGAAGTTTCTACGGACTCTAACGAACTCCCTGACAGAGCCCATGAATCCCTTGCCCCCTAGATCTGGATAGTTTATTCGGAAGATTCATATGGAGCCAGCAGGGTGGGGATGGGAGAGGAAATCGTCAGAATATTGGGACCCTACAACCATTCAATATGAGTATAATACTGTAGGGCTAGATTTTTTTTAGGTTGGGGTTACCTGACCACTAGGCCCTAAACCCCAACACCTATTTTGCGCCCCTTCTAAGATTAATTCATGTGCATGCCCAGGTTCAGAGATGCAAAGGGCAACGCCGCGTAGCCCGCACTGGTGGTTGCAATCCTCGGGTTTAGTGTTTAGGGGCTTAGGGTTTCGGGTTTAGGTTCAACATGGAAACCACTCTTCTCCTGTCAGCCCAAAGGTGTTTGGGGGATAGTTATGGCTTTCAGTCATGGAGTACAATCAATGTTTTACCCCAAGCGAAACTGTACAGGAGCCTCCGTATGTTTAATCACGGGTTTAGGGTTTAGGGAAGGAACGAGTTGGCAAAGAATGGATGGTCTAATGGCTGATGAATGGGATGAGCGCGTGGGCTTAGCCATCTCCAGGGCAGGGCAGGTGCGTATAGAACCAAGGGTCGCATGAACGTGTATACGGAGGGCAAATCCAACAATATAGACCTGAGCGCGGCATGAACATTTATGCAGAAGGCAAATCTAACCAATCTAGCCTCTCCAGTGATCTTGTACCTGCTTGCTTTTTCAATGTCAGTATGTGATATGTGTCCGGGAGCCGGCTCTTTGGGGCATTGGACCATAGTAGGGGAACCCCCCTCATTCAAAATTAGGTGGCCCCGTTTAAAAGTAGTATTGCCCTTTTAAGAGTGCTCTTCAGGATTGTTAGGCCCCTGGATTTTTGGTGAACATTGGGGCTTCTTTAATACCAACCATCCATATACCTACAGGATATACATGTGTACACATGTACATAGCATATATGGAGATCATACATGCACGCATAACTACATGCATATGTGCGTACATACCTACCTGCCTACATACATTACATTACATTACATTACATTACATCACAGTACATGACATTACATTACCTTACATTACATACACTACATACACTACATACAGTACATACGTTGCATGCATTACATGCATTACCTTACATTACATACACTACATACAGTACATACGTTACATGCATTGCATGCATTACATGCATTACATACATAACATACATAACATAC